GACAAAGACGTCTTACAACAACTCCCACTACTTTAGTTGATAATGTTTTACAAGTGCACCGTGGTGATGGAAAGAAATCTCTTGTTAACGTGGATTCTTGTATGATTTTAAATTTAAATTCTAAGTGAAATAAATAAATATTTTCTATCTTTATATTTTATAGCAGTACACATATGATATTGATAACTTAAAAACTTAAAAAAATAACGTCCTTAAAATTACTTTACGCTTAAAAACTACAAAAAAGTGCCTACCGTAAAAAATATTCAAGTTTAAGAATTTTAATTTACATATGTATATAACGATGTCCGTAGAAAGATTGTACCAGTTTTAATCAATTGAATGATTATACAAAATATATTTAATTTTATGAACAGCCATTTAATTGTCATATTACTAATGGTAACACTTTTGCGGCTTCTCGATCTTGAACAAAACACGCACCGGCTTTTATGTGGTCCATCACGCCTCTGATAAAATATGTTATCGTCAAATGTTACATATTATAAAAACCACGATCGCCTTTGGACGACATTGTCTCTTTCGTTTCTATACCGTTGTCAGACCTAGACCTACACAGGCAGATTTACGCCATAGGTTAATAAGATTACAACAACCAGGCACGTACAGGCTCTGACTTCGATCAGAACACTAGATATCGCAAATTAATGCAGTAAGTCAATAAACCCTATGTCAAAGGCCGTAGCGAGAGTCAACGCCTATATTATCGACATTTTCTCATCATATTTTCAAAAATAAAAACCATAATACATGCACTTTAATAAAGTAAATTTGTAAGTTTTGATACAAAACATGCTGTCGTAACTTAACTGTTGTAACACCGAACAAAGATTCTTACCTTATAATCCATTTTACACTATACCACATATACCACACTTATTATAAAAACAATTAATGATTAATTTCATTACAACTTTCAAGTGATTTTTGTGCGGATTTATTTATATTATATTGCATTATGTATAGTCTTGTTGGTCCGGGCCGAAGTTTGTAATTACAAAGTATTTACATAAGTCATTGGTTGTATTAATATCCGTGTTTGGCGATTGTTATATTTCTGTTGCAGAAATTTTCGCGTTACATTTTTAAATCTTTCATACTTATAAAATGATTTCGTTGTTTATACGAAATCAGGAGTTGCACATATATCAACCCACATGGCATTCTATATACTTTTCATATATTATGTATATACTTTTTAGAATTTATATATTTCCTATGTATATCCGACAATATGCTGAAGACTTTAGAAGAATATAATTAGTATATCACTATGTCTTGTTTCAGATGAAATATGAATATGCTCATATAATCTATGAGCATATTCTTTAGATATCTAAAAAAATGTTCGCAAGATACTCATGGAATGTATTAAATTCATTTAATAAATGCCTAGTACGCTTGAAGAATATCTTATTAATATATATTGCTATGTGGGAATTACTCAAGAATTATAGTGATGTGAATTAAACGTTATATTTAATATTTAAATACTCGTACTATAAGTTATAAAGGAATGTTGATTAGTTGGTTGCTAAGAAAAAAAATACAAAATTACGGATAAACAAATTACATTCAGTTCTGAGTGAGACAAATAGGGGTTGAAGCTAAAGTGCTACATCCGAAAAACGATTATTGGCGGAACTTACGATTTATTATGATTTATAAAATTTTAAGAGCTCATAAAAAATTATCTACCTAAGATTATTATGATTTTAGGACATTTAATTTAATTTAGGGTAATTATAACAAAAACGATTTTTATAACGTAGGTATATAATTGAAAATGTATACAGATTATAGACCCCGGATTGCTGGTTAGTTGGCACGAAGTCATTTCTCACAATACTTACCTGTTGAACCACTAACCAATACAATTTCATCTCATTTTTTTATCGTATTAACAAATATCATCTAAGGAAAAATATTAATAATATAAAGGATAATAAAGAAAGGGAAAACATTAAAACGAATTATTATTATACTTGTATATATTTTACATATTCTTATACTAGGTATGTAATATTTATATTATGTAAATATATATGTGTAATTTCTATAATATTAATAATATGGACTTAATTTTTGTACACACAGAAAAAAATTCTCAAAAAAAAGTAAGCACGGGAATCAAAAAGAAAGAAATGCCCTGGATTCTATGATAGTTGATTATAATAATATTATTTATGACTGAAAAAATTTTGCAATAACAATGATTTATAATGTAATAGTTTTCATTTTTTAATAATATCTAGTTGGAATACACAGGTTTAACAATTTAAAGATTTAATTTAAACTAGGATTTAAATTTTAAATTTAAATCTATTTTAGATAGAACTATTTATCAAAAGATTATAACAATTATAAAACTAGTTCCTACACATATATTAAGTGTTATTTATTACAAAAAGTACTTAAAAGTACTGTGTATAGGTGAAAGAGTAACTTGTGAAATTTTGGTCGTAAACCGTGATCAAGTATCTAATTTAATTCGTAATTTGTATTGTCTGAAGCACCAGTGGCGTAATTTCAGTTCTTTCTGGGGTAGGGCATTACGCATGTGCTTATTGAATTTCCGATTCGGCGACTCATTTTACCAAAGTGCCGATTAACGTAGGAGAGAGTGACGTAAAGCCAGTCCAAAAATATAATGATTTGTACTTAGCATGTAAGTACAATTATAGTATACGTCTTATTTTTTTGATTACCAACATGTTAATGGGTTTATAAAATACGTATTTATATTTTGATGATATGCCGACTTTGGAATATCTTAACTCTAGACCAGGGAACGGCAAGTAATGTCTATCGGATTCCAGAAGATTAAAATAATAAATTAATGGGATTCCAGGGGAAAATATGATATTTTTGTGAGACAACTGTAATCTGAGTCAAAAATTATTAAATAATATTGCTTAAAACACAACTTTTTTCATTAATCATTATGAGAATGTTATTGATGCATAAGATAAATAATGTATGATATATTGACGCAGTCCAGTTATCTTTCTTCCGCAATCTCCCAGTGGCCAACCGCTGTTCTAGACTGTGACAAACGCATGATTTGCCTCTCCACCCCAGGGGCGGATCTAGAGGAGGGCGAATGGGGCTATCGCCCCCCTCCCCGTTCCCGTAGCAGACTTTAGTTTTTGACGTAATTACTTCAAGAATAAATCGGGAAATCTTAAACTATTTTTTTTTATACCAAACTTATGCTGATGCTATATTATCACTTATATTTATTACATGGTGATATACTGATATTACAGTTATATACTATGATGTTAAATATTCGTAACCAAGTTTTGTGTTTGTAGGTGTTTCCCATAGATAATATAAGAATTATATCTTATATTATTTATGGTGTTTCCAAAACATGATAACTGATAACGACCAACGTAAAAATCGTTCGGTACCTCCATAATCAACAAATTTGTAATTATAAACTCTATTGTTATGAGACATATTGGAATAACTAAAAAAATTATTATTATTATTTTTTTTATGTTTTTTTTTTTAAATAACCTATATCAAAATTAATATTTTTAATTTTATCTATATAAATATCTATATCATGTGTGTCTGTTAAAAATCTCCCCTCCCCCCGTTATCTTGGTCTGGATCCGTCCCTGCACCATCCTACCTAAATGACGCCATTGCAAAGCACGAATGTTTTAATCTATACGACAGAGTATAAATAAAAAGAAATTAATCATATTTTTAATTTTATCTATATAAATATCTATATCATGTGTGTCTG